TTTCTACGGTTTCACCAAGTGGAATCCAGGGGGAAATTTAAAAAAAACAAAAAACAAAAAACAAAAAAACAAAAAAACCCAACTTTTTTATTGTAGGGTGTGGCTTAAGAGTGTAAGAAAAGGCAGTCAAATGACAGTGTTACTGGAACATAATTTGTCAACCGAGGGCAGACTAACTATGGTCCGGCCTCCATCCCCTGAACACGGTGGTCAAGAAGCTAACGTGTCTGAGCAGGCGTTCTTATGAGACTGTGTAGTGTGCTGAGGTATCACTTAGCACTTCATTAGTTAATTTCGGATGACAAATATTTGTGAATCTTGTATTATTTGTGTAGACAGGAGAAAGGCTGAGTTTTCAGCTATGCTTTAGATATAGTGCCTTGCTCCAGCAAGGGCGATGTGAAGAAAACAGAAGTACACTTGAATTGCCTTTAAGTAGATGGTTAAGAATTTGTGAATTCCGGGATTGCTAACTTTCAGTTTTGCAGCCATTCAAATAAAATATAACTTCTTGCCCAGAGCAATTCTACTGCCTCCTTGGAATACACCCCTGTCTTATCCACCAACTTTCAAACCCCTCGCCCCATAAGTAGATGTAAGGTGGCGTGTCGCTGCCACCTGCTGGTCACCTGGGGAACTATGTGAGCTAACCTCGGATCTCTGACCCTTTTTTAAAATTTATTTTTATTTTTAAAAATTAATTTATTTTTTATTGATTATAGTTTATTCACATTGTATCCCAGCTGTAGTTCTCTCCCTCACTCCATCTCAATCTCCCTCTGTCAACTCCTCCCATGCCCCTCCCCAAGTCCACTGATACCTCTGGCTCTTGGTGAGCCCCTGCTTTGAGATTGTACTGGCTGGTTAAATTAAAGCCAGGCCCATATATACATTTTAGTAGAGCAACTACATTATGCTTTATGGCAAGATCAGCTTAATCTTGAGGCTCCCATCAGTGCCAAGGTCTTTTTTGGGGGCGTCAGTTTTTTATTTAAAACATTTTCCCAGAATTTGTTTCCGTAGCTGCAGCTGAGATAATGCCACATAAAACAAATTCTACTCCATATTTCCTTTCCTTTTTTTAGTTTCCTTCCCCACTTATTCTTTCTTTCTGGTTCTTTCCCCTTTCTTCTCTACATTTATTCCTCTTGCCTTTTATTTATTTTTTCAGAGTAAAGCATTTTATTAGAGCTCTTTATTTTCCTTTACAACTATTGTGTAGTTTTTTTTTATAATCTAAATGCAAAAACAAACTAGAAACAGAAACATTTTCTACAGAGACTATCTAATAGGTAAGTACATGTGTCTAAAACTACACACAAGCACAATAGGAATATGAATACATAACAGAGATATTTTTTAAAAAATCCTTTTCTCACAAAACTGCTTGGGAACTGTTTGCTAATTACAGCCCTCAAGTGTTAATTAGGAATGATATGCCTGCAACCGACACACTGTCATAACGGATTGGAACCACAAACGCACTGTGTTTTTTTTTGATCATATTCACTCCCTGCTCCAGCTCCTTCCAGATCTACTTCCTCTCCCTCCCCACTCAACTCTGTGCTCCCTTTTTTGTTTAACCCATGGAGTCCAAATTGTGCTGCCTCTACATTCTGCTATGTGTGGCCTTCCCCTGGGTCATGGCTGATTCACTTGTGGAAATACTTTTAAGGAAAACTGGCTCTCCCCTTCTCCGCATCTGTCAGTTGCCAATGGCTCCTTTGCTAGGGGTGGGGCTAAGTGAACACCTCCCACCTCCACAGTGGGGAATCTGCCTGGCTGGAGCTTGCCCAGCTCGCGTGAGTGCTGTCACAACTGTTGTAAATTCATTATGTGCAACATCCTTCCTGTTCCGGAAGATACTGTTTCCTTGTGTCATCAACCACCAACAGCTTTTCAAATCCTTATGCTGCCTATTCTGTAATGATTTCTGATCCATGAGAAAAGACACTGCAATATACATGTCTCATAGGGACTTGGGTTTCTCTGTCAGTCACCACCTGCTGCAGAAAGAAGCATCTGTGATGAGGGCTGAGTGATGCACTGATCTATGGGCATATGTATAAATCACTTGGAGTCAGTTTAATATTATGCCAATTAGCAGAGTAATTGTAGTAGTCTCTTCAGTACAGGTTCCTGGCCCTAATAACAATGCCAGGTTATGTCAACTTGTGGAGATGGCACTGAATGCAATTAGGTGGTTGGTTACTTCCATGACATTCATGCCAACGTATGTTTTTCTAGGCTGGTCGTTAATATTTAAACATTAAATTAAATACTTAAACTTAGTATTTAAAGTTTATGGATGGGTAAGACTGATGACTACTTCCCGCCCTGCTAGTGTTCCTAAGACCTTCTAACATTATTAAAACTAGCTAGAAGGAATGACACATTCAGAGGAGTTCCTTGATTGATTTATCCACACTGTCATTATTCTTGATTTCTTAGGAAACCATCCTTTGTCTTAAAATTTTTGTATTGATTCTTTGTGAATTTCATATCACTCTCCTCCACTGCCTTGGCTAGCTCACACAATGCCTCAGCTGGCAAGGGCCAGGGTCAGCTCCCTTGCCTACATGCCACCGGGCCAGCTCTCCTGGGCCTTCGCCACCCGGGTCAGCTCTACTGTGCTGTGCTGCCCAGGCTAGGGGTGATGCCAAATCTCTCAAGTGTGGTGGCCAGCAAGGAGTGGGAATAGCTCAGTACAAGTGCCTCAGATAGCAGTCCAGATCGGGGACATTTGCATGGTCTTTGGTGGTAACATGGACCCAAACATGGTTCTCAGCAACAGCATGACCCTCAGACATCCACATGGTTTCCAGGGGCAGCCCAGACCATGGACATTCACTTGGCCTTTGGTGGTACCTCGGCACACAGATATTGATTCAGACCCCAGCTACAGCAGGACCGTGGACCTAGACATAGCCCTTGGCAGCAGCTTGAACCAGGACCTCACAGTGGCCTCAGATGGTTATGCAGGCTCCTCATGACTGCCTATTCCTCACCACCGTTAAGTCTCCAATTCCACCTTCCCCCACAGCATATGAACCCTTCGGCTTTGCTTTCTCTCCCTTCTCTGCACCACATACATCTTTTCCATCTCTCCTACCACATATTTGCCAATCTTAGTGGCTTCTGCAGCAGACACTTGGATCTCTTTGGGTCATGCTGGCCTGCGAGTGTCTGGGGTGGGTGCTTCTCCTCTGTCTTTTTTTTTTCCTTTTGGGAGACAAAGCATGATCCTAACTTTCAGTTGATAAGCCCATGGTTATGGGTAATTCTTACCATGAATGGGGAAGGCAAAGCTTGTGAAATGAGTAAACAATTCGATGAACACCTATGTCCCTGGAAGAAATTCCATTTCTACTTACAGTGGCTGTGTCCCTTCTCTCTGCCCTTCAGGATTTCACTTTGTGCTGCTTTCAAAGATTCTTGTCTCTTTGATTTATTGCTGTATCCTCAACATTTAAAAAATTTCTGGCATGTAGAAACAGCTCCATTAATATGATAAACCTTTGTGTTGTGATAACTCCTTTGGTAGTTACAGTCAGCCACAGCTTACATGCCGAGTGGTTAGGCCTATGATGGATGATTCTATCCGTCCTGAACACAGCCTTGTCTTTCTGACAAGATTCCCAGTACACTACGGCAACTATCTACGTAGTGTTTATATCCTACTAGATGTTATATCATCTAAACATGATTTAAGTCAGTGTGTGTGTGTGTGTGTGTGTGTGTGTGTGTGTGTGTGTGTAGGTTATGTGACATTCAAATAAAGAATTTGAACACTTCTGGTGTTTGGAGACCTTAGAGCCAATTTCAGAAATGCTTGTCTTTGTTGAAGGAATAAAGAGAAAGATATTCATGGTGAATAAACAAATCTGACTTGTTCATTTTTACTGTATCCTTCCTTTGTAAACGACATAGCAATGCTAATATTCATCAAAAAAGAGCATGCCTTTGAACTTCTGTGGGATAACTTAAGCATTAGGGGTGTTAGCTTTTAAAAATTGCTTACTGAGGACTTCCAGAAAAAGAGCTGTTGGTTGGTAAGCTGGAAACTCTTGCTTTCTTATGTGCTTCAGTGGTGTCTCTTCTGTATGCATAACGGAAAGCAAACCCCACCAGAATGACGAGCTATTCTCAAGGCCATTAAATATACAGAGAGAAATTCCAAATGAACAAATATTAAGCCTTTAGCCAAACATCTCACTGCGTATGTTTTTGTCTGTCTGACAGCCCTGTCCCTTTGGTGTTGTTAATCCCTGATAAAAGAAAGGCAGGCTTATTCCTTATGTCTCTGGAAGCACGCACAGGGAAGACTCTGGCTTCGCCTCCCGTTCATGAGAACTGTCTCTTGTGTTCCATCTCAGAACTGGAGCACAAGCCAAGCTGCTTTTCACTTCAAAGAATGTTCTTCTCGTGTTGCTGTTTTGGAAGAATTTTATGGCAATAAAAAAACAAAAACACTTCCTACTTCTGTATTCAAATTCTAAGAGTCCTTAAATCTGCCCACAACTCTGTGATCTTAGGGGCTGTATACCTCCTCTCCACAGCAAAAGGGGCATTGGAAGGCATTAAAAGCTATCCAGAATTAAGACTGTGGAGATGAGTGAGGGTATAAGAGCAAGCTGACCAACCTATGAGGAGTGCCGTCTTGTCCCTGGCTGGTAATAATGGTGATGTTCATGGGGAAAGAGAAGGCAATTCATCTTTGCCTCCTTGGCTGCCTAGACTGTGGGAATCTACAAGGTGTCAGTAAAAACATGGGCAAACTTCGTCATCCGGCCCTTGACACTTGGGCAGTGCTTCAGTCTGACTGGACGACATGGAATAGAACAGGTCAGGTAGCAGAGCCTCAGTTTACCTTCCTGCAAAATGGAAGTAACAGTTGTGCTGGGCTGTCGTGAGGGTTGCTACTAGGGCCTGGCTGGTAGCCCTCCATGGGTAGCCAGTGATGCCTGTATTCAGTTCTTATCTTTCCGTCTCTCCACTAGGTACCTTGGGATCACGAGGCCCCTCACGTACCCTGTGAGGCAGAATGGGAAATGCATGGCCAAAATGATTCTGTCGGTCTGGCTTCTCTCCGCCTCCATCACCTTACCTCCGCTCTTTGGATGGGCCCAGAATGTGAACGATGACAAAGTGTGCTTGATCAGCCAGGATTTTGGCTACACGATCTACTCCACCGCAGTGGCGTTTTACATCCCCATGTCGGTCATGCTGTTCATGTACTATCAGATTTACAAGGCCGCCAGGAAGAGCGCGGCCAAACACAAGTTCCCGGGTTTCCCGCGCGTGCAGCCCGAGAGCGTCATCTCCCTGAACGGCGTGGTGAAGCTCCAGAAGGAGGTGGAAGAGTGTGCGAACCTTTCAAGACTGCTCAAACACGAAAGGAAAAACATCTCCATCTTCAAGAGGGAACAGAAAGCAGCTACCACCTTGGGGATCATCGTGGGTGCCTTCACCGTGTGCTGGCTGCCGTTCTTCCTCCTGTCCACGGCCAGGCCCTTTATCTGCGGCACCTCGTGCAGCTGCATCCCGCTGTGGGTGGAGAGGACATGTCTGTGGCTGGGCTATGCAAACTCTCTCATTAACCCTTTCATCTATGCCTTCTTCAACCGGGACCTGAGGACCACTTACCGCAGCCTACTCCAGTGTCAGTACCGGAATATCAACCGGAAGCTCTCTGCCGCGGGCATGCACGAGGCCCTGAAACTTGCCGAGAGGCCCGAGAGAGCGGAGTTTGTGCTGTAAGGTCATTTATCACTACCATATCCATTTAACTATCCCCCATGCCCCCTTTCACGACGCTTCGTGAATGTTGGGTAAAGCCTCCCCAATCAGGGGGCTGGCTTATTTTTAGCAGACATCAGGTGTGAATTTAGAATACTTTCCATTCACTCAGGATAAGGTTAAACAAACAAACAAACAAACAACAAACGCCCCAAGACAGGTAGGTATTTGAATGGCAAGAGGTGACTGGTCTGCTGGTTAGTTTCAGTTCATGTAACTGGTGACCCGGAAGGTAATATTCTCCGTTTCTTTCATCATCAATAACATCTCAACTATGTCTGTTGGTGTATCTGAATTCCTCTGACAATGCCATTTACAATGCTTTTGTACTTCCATGTGGTGAAGCGTTTTGGCTGACCTCATAGTTCCCAGAGAAATGCCTCTTTTGAAGAAGGAAACAGATGTGATTTTTCCGGTACGGAACTGCATCCAACTAGGAGATGACACTAGGACAAGGCGCTAACAGACATTGAGCTATAAGAAGTACTTCCTGTCTTTGTAGCCAAGAACTGATTCTTGCTGAAGCTGTCCATTTTTTGACATTGTCTGGGACGAGTTCTTGACACTCCAGGGAACAATGGGAGTAGAGATCTGAAAACATACTACAAAGGGCTGATGGTGATAAGGACTTGGGAGTTTCACAATTAACTTACGACTTAATAAACTTGGCATTGTTACGGAGGGGGGAGGCAAGATGGTAGGGTGCTGAACAGGGAAAATGCAGACCTTTAAAAAAAAGATTATTTATTTATTATGTGTACAGTATTCATATACAGTATTCTGCCTGGGTGTATGCCTGCAGGCCAGAAGAGGGCGCCAGATCTCATTCTAGATGGTTGTGAGTCACCATGTGGTTGCTGGGAATTGAACTCAGGACGTCTGAGATAGCATCCAGAGCTCTTCACCTCTGAGCCATCTCTCCAGCCCCCAGACTTTTTTTTTTAATTAAAAAATTACGTTGAGGAGATCTGACAATTGAGAGAAAAAAAACTTGGGATAAGATCATAGAAGATTCTGGTGGAGGAGATACTCCTGTGGACTGAGGAATGGGAATAGGAAAGAGTAAGAGCAGAGAAGGCAGAGAGGGCTCTACCTTGGAGGGACCTTCTCTGTCTTCTTGCCTGGGAGAGTGACGTGACATGTCCTACACTTTTATCACAACTAAGTCTAGATACCACATAACCTCAATCCCAGACCCGCAGTGTCTTCCAGTGCTACTGTGTGTTTGTCTTAGGATGGGAAGTTGTTAGAGCAAAGCTATTCCTGTTCTTGAGCTGGCTGCAGTAGTCTGTGTTGTACATATGAAATGGTTCACAATACAAAAGGCAGCATTTAAAAAGTAGCATGTGACATCAGGCTCTAGAATACTCACTACGAGCCACCCCCAGAGACTTCCAAAATCTGTGTGATCCCTCTGAATGAATATCCACCCCACTCCCCCGACTTCAATATTCTTAGGGGAGGAGGTATGCCTTAGATTTGTGTTTGCATAACCTACTCCAGTGCCTGGCAGTTATAGAATATCAACGGCCGTAGCCGCTCTTGTACCCAGTTTTCAGGGGATTAACTTGTGGCTCTAGGGTAACGGATGTAGGATAATTTGCTTATGATCACATAGATGTGCAATGAATCATGTCAGTGCATACAGCCTTAATCACCACGGAAGTCTCTTTGTCAGCTGAGTTGTCTGAGCCAGTGAAGAGCTTCCGCATGCTGGAGCTAGGAACAGCAGATAACAGATTGCTGTGAGGACAGCTAGGATGCCGTCCTGACTCTGGGTGAGATGAGTTTGTTAGATGCACTGTATGGTGGGAGGGTCACATCCACCCAGAATCCTAGTAATTTCTCAGATGCGGGAAATGAAGGCGGGCCATTCAGAAGAGTTCTCAGGCTTGGATTGGTGGTTTTAAGCTGAACTGATGACCGCTATAGATTCCTTGATAAAATAGTTTCGCATTAGTGAGTAGGAGAAAGCGAGGGATTTGATGGGTAACCTATTATGGTCAGGAGTAACACAGTGCGGATTGTGTTTGAGGAAAGTCTTTGGGAATGGTGAGAAAGGCAGACAACAGCGCGAGGCTGGTGGCAGGAGGTCCCATTTGGTAGCAAACTCAGAGAGTGCAGATGATGTCCTGATCATCTACTTACAAGCCTCTGAGAGACTGAGGATAATTTTACTGATTAGTGCACGTAATAAATTCACTGATAATTAAGGCATAAGAATGGTAATTAAAAAAATGTGACACAAACAGGTTTCCTGTTTGAAATAATAATAGCCGACATTGACTGAGGATTCATTCTCAGCCACTACACTGGGAACACCAAATCTTCAAAATTGTATGATGGAATAGTTTTCTCCATTTCCAGTTTGAGGATATAAAACAAGAGCTTGGCGAGATCAAGTCATTTCCCCATGGTCCTTCAGAGGAGATTGATAGAGTTGGATTTCAGCCCAGGAAGCCCGTGTGCACAAGTGCTTTTAGTTTCATGCTACTGTACCCTTTATAAAAAATAAATCAGTCAGATAAAGCATGAGGATGCTTGCCTGTCCTCAGCTAGTGTGGAGGCTTGGGTGTTGTTTCCTGTTAGTCCCAGACAAGGGCCGGCCAACCTATGTGGTGAGGAATCAAACAGCAGCATTTTGAGCTTTGAAAACCATAAGGTTTTCTTGAAATTACTCCCCTCCGCCATTGTCATCCACTTAAGTAAACAGGAGGACATGGGTATGTACCAACAAAACTTAATTTACAGAAGGGATGGCCAGCTGGATTTGGCTCATAGGAAATAGTCTGTTGTCCCTTGATTTAAGAGAGAATTACTATGACTAATTACATCTCTCTCAGTTTGAATTTATAACCATGTAGGATATGCAAATCAGTTAAGACTGTGGGCCTAAAAATATCGAACAACTTTAGAATGTCTTTACTGTTAGTACTATTGTGTAGAGATCACACAGCCGCTATTTTTGAACTCTAAACCGGGCAGTTTTGTTGTTAACACCAATGTTAGAAGATTAATTTTCAGTTTTTTGTTTTTTTTTGTATGACTGTCACCCACTATGGAGGGTACATAAAACCTGACATCATTCTTGCTGCTGTGCATGTATTTTTATATACAAAGTATTAATGTAACCTTTTGTGATCTGAATGTTTGTCTTTTCCCCAAATTTATATGTTGAAATACAGACTCTACTGCAGCAATGGGGACTCTACGGGGCGACTGATTCATGAAGGCAGAGCTGTCATAAGTAGGATGAGAGCCTTCTAAAAGGAAACAGAGGGAGCTGGCTTATGAGGGAGACAGAGAGCCTCACAAGACATTAAATTCAATTAGTTATGGACTTTCTGGTCTCTATAAATGAAGAATATGCTCATAAACTACCACTTTATGATATTTCATTATAATAGCCTGAATCCATAGCACATGAACACTCAGCCTTGTTTTTTAATGATGAAAGTCACAGGTAGGAAACCATGTCAGTCAAAGGAGAAGGGAATGTAGCCAGTGCTTACACCAATTAGAGAAGATTTCCTGGAAAGGAGCATTCTTGAGGCTAGTCAAAGTATTTATAACTAACAGTGAACAGCAGGGTCATTCCAGATAAAAGAGACATTTATGTAGGGCCACCAAGGTAGGAGCTTATGCAAAGATCAGACCTAGACTCTAGAGGGAGAAAACAGTTGGAGATCAGAGTAGAAATGACATAGAAAGTGTTACTAATGATGTACCCCAGCCCCAAGAATTTGGACTTTAGGTATAGGCAACAGATTCTCAATTCAGAGGAATTTTTGCCTCCTATTCTGGAGATGGTTGGTGATGCCTGGAGATACTTTTGGTTGTCCTAACTGGAGTGTGTCTGGTTGTTAACTGCCATCTACTAGGTGTAGGTCAGAGAGGCTGTCAGCTACTCTACACTGCATACAATTGCCTCCCACAGAAAAGACTTACCCAACCTGTAAGGTAAGAGGTTCGGAGACTGCTGTAGATGGGAGTAAGTCCTCTATATCTTCTGTAGCCAGTGGATAGGGCCATCAGAGTAGAGGCCACTGATTCAGTGGAACTGTGTAGGAAGGATCAGAAGGCAGAGGCGGGTTGTAGAGTTCCCTCGTTGGTATTTCCAGAAACACTGGGGGACTTTCTGTGTATGAGACACAGCACCAGGCACGGCAGGGGTGGAAAGGGGATTGTGAACAGTCTTTAACTTTGAAAGTTCACTCTCCTGTGGGTTTAGGTGCTGCTGAGGTCAGTGACACTTGATTTTTAAAAGACATTTTCAACCAGAGTGAGAACCTATGTGGTCCACACTGCACAGTTACGTCTAGGCAAGCACTAACTGGAAAGCTGCTAACTGGTTTGACTTGACATATGGTACTTTGAAGCCTTGTTTTTCTGACTTGTTCTTTGCTATTATTAGGTTGGATGACACATGGGGTTATACTCTACACAGTCTGAATGAAAATATAATCAGTCACCGTGGTCTCTAAAGGAGAAGAGACAACCAGTCCACAGCTCAGAGCAAAGGAGCAATACTTCTTAGAGCCCTCCTCCTTTCCCAGACTCCCTCACCCATCTAGTGGCCACCCTAAGGACTCTGGGAAACTCCTTATAGTTTCTCCAGCCTGTTTCTTCCCATCCAGCTGTTTGAGTTTGAGTCTGTATTACTTTTGCTTCTTGCTTGGCCTTCTTGACTCCATTATTTTTTTTCTCCTACACATACTCAGTTTCCTTCTTTTTCTGTGTGAACGGTCTAGATTGTATGTTGTCACTTTCGAATATTTACCCAATTTCTTCCTATTTTCTTAATCAGCATAACCAGAGCCTCAGGAGTCCAGCAGGCACTCGAGAATTTTCCTTGGGGTAACGGAATGAACACAGGGATAAAAGCTGTGAATACTGTTGCACTGGTAATTTGAACTCACTACTATCAATTTTAATCTTTTCACTATTTCCCGAGTCTTTGAATAAAGGTAATAACAGAAATGTAACAATGTGACATAAGCAAGGATTCTTTCTTTCTCTTTAATTGAATGATTTTACTCATGGACTTGAACTGCCACAAAATGCTTTTAAGTATTGTGTCACGAGGACTTGTTCTTTGACATCCTTTATGGACAGCCCTGAAAAGTACTTTCTAAAATACTTTGCTATAAAAGAATATCATGAGATTGTTTTAAAGCAGCTCTTCCTTTCTGTCTCCCCTCTTCTCCTTGGTGGCTGTATTGTCTTTCTCTTCAAAGAACCTCTTATAATCCCCATCAATTGCAGTGGTTCTTAGCAGTGACTCATCGCACAATAACCTTGGGTTTCTGCCATGAATTCTGTCAATTTGCTGCTCCGGGCTTTAGGCTGAAGCTTTGGAATTCAACCTGATTGCATGCTTTCTTTGTGGAAAGGGGTAATTTAAAAGAAATGAAGTGAAGTACATCCCAGGGGAAATCGGGGGAAAAATCAAGGCCCCGTGCAACCCTGAGTGTCTGTGATGGGTCCCTACCTTAATGCCAAAAGCAAACAAAGAGTTTGCTATTCCCTGGACATTTTAAAGACCTTTCAGCGATATTTTCTTCACCATTAATTGCCCCAAGTTCAAGTTCAATGCTTTGCCCATATTAAATCAACTAGTAATAACATTAGCTTCTATGCTCCATGCTTTACAGTTATGCAGTTTCACCTTGAGGTATCTTAAAGTAGGAGAAGCATTGTTCTATGCAGTGTTGTATTCAATGTTGAGGATCAAAGCCAGGGGACTCACACAAGCTACAAACTTGTCCACTGAGCCCCAGCCCTTGCCCAACCCTCTTCTAACCCTTTCTTCTGTTTTCATTTTTCCCTTAATTGGTATTAAATACAGGTAGCTTAATGCAAATTCTGAGAGTGGAGAAAAGTACATAATAAAAATAAACTTTGGGGATGTTCTTACAAAGATAATTTACATGGTGAAATCATGAAAGCAGTGATATCAAGGTAGCATTTTTTAATAAGAAGAGATGTGGGGGGGCATAGGATAGGAGTTGTTCAGTGCTGAGGGACAGTCTGTCCAGCAACAGCTGTGGATGGAGGTGGGCAAGGGATCTGGAACATGTCCTCAGGAAGTCGGGTAGGTCGGGGTCAGTCCAGGGAGTCAGGTGGGTTTTTGACAGAAGTGACACTAGACTATAGGGGAATGGTGGAAGGAGAGCCTACCAGTATCAGAAGGGTGTGTGCTAGACAGCCAGTGTGGGTGTGAGGTCTCTGCCTGGGGGCAGGGGGGGAGGGGGAGAACTGCACCAGGAAGGCATCATTGACAGTCGAGAGGCTAACGGTGCCCAAGAAGTCTGGAACCTGGACTCCTTAAACCATCACTGTGGCTAACAGGTCAGGGATAAGGAAGATGGACTCTGGAGCTGGTGCTGGACTGGGGAGAAATTAAGCAGAGCTTAGGAATTTAGGTGGGAACGAAACTGAGATAAAGGATACTGGGTGTGGTACTTTCACTAGGTGTGAAGAACCAAAGGTCCAGACTAGAAGTGTTTCGGGAGCATCATTAGTTGAGGATATAGCTTATTCCCAGTCTTGACTCCAAGAAACCCGTGAAACTGGGACTCAGTTGAAGTACAGCAATTGTTCCCGGGTACTGTTGTATGAGGTTGAGGGTCAATGCCAGAGACTGTGTCTTATGGAGCGTGGAGTCTATTGCAGGAAAATTCAGGCATTGCTGCACCAAGATGAAGGACTGGCCTGAGAGGAGAACTACAGATAAATGGATTGAGATCTAGGGGCACTTTAAGTGGGGCAGGGAGGCCAAGCGAGAAGCATAGTTCTGGACCTGTGACTGCCTAGCGCAGTGCCTAAACACTGCACGTGTATTAAGTCAAGGCCTGAGAAAGTATGGCAGTGTGGGTGTCTGGATCTGTGCTAGGAGAATGGATACGTTCTCGGCTTTTGGCTTGAACTTCTCTATGGCCCGGACACTTTTGTGAGTCAAGAACACAGGCCTTGAGGGTAGCAGGATTCCGGTTTCTGTGAAGATCAGTTATTAGACCACATCTTTTTAGCTTGGAAGGGAGTGATAGTTCTCAGTGGAAGTAATAGTCGAGAGAGAGAGAAAGAGAGAGAGAGAGAGAACATACTCTGAACTTGGATCATGCCCTCCTTATTTTTTCTTACACCATCGTCCCCTTCTGACAAATGCATTCTTCCTTTCAAGTCCCTCACCCACCCACTTTTATTTTTGGTGTGTGTGTGTGTGTGTGTGTGTGTGTGTGTGTGTGTGTGTTCCACTACATTTAGTATTGATTTTTTGAGCATGAGTAAGGAGTTGCTTAACTTGAGAAAGGGCATCTTTCCGGTGGCTGTACAACTGAGGAATATGACTTCTCCCCCCCGGAAACCATTGAACCTCATGACCTCCCTCTAATGGGAAACTGATGGTCCCAGTCCTGTGCAGATGACTACCACTTGTATGAGTTCACAAATGTAGTATCTGTGCTGTGTCCTGTGGATAGCCCTTTCCCATCTTTCTGCTATATATCCCCCTTCTCCCTCTTCTTCCACTCTTGGCCAGAATGACATAGGTGTGTGACTTAGGGCCGAGCATTTTAGTGATCAGCTATTCCCAGTGCTCTGAGCGATTATGAGTCTCCGCTTAACCATTGTCCACCAAAAGCAAAAGCTTCTCTGACCCAGGCTGAGAGTAGCACTAATCTATTGGTGTAAACATAAATATTTAAAAGAAAGTTTGAAACTATGTCCATTTACCAGAATAATGATAGCAGCTAGGTCCCATGACTTCCCAAGCTATCATGTGGGGTATGCATTTCCTCATAATGTGCAAATCCAACCAGAAGGTGGTTAGTTATCCCTACAACCATCCTGCCACTATTACAGAACTGGTACATTTGTTCGGTAGGTAGTTCCTGTAGAACGAAGGATTCATAACTAGGTAAGACTGTCGATGACTTTTCTGTATCAGAAGACTTGTGTAGTATCTTCTGGCAGTAAGAAAGCTAGCTATCAGGAGGAAGTTTTCAGGTCAGTTTCAGTTTGATTTGAGCAAAGTATGTGTGGTGTCTTCAACCCAGCCTTATCATTTAGTTTTGAAAAGCAACCACATAAATGAAAGTAGTCTGTATTGTTTTGGTACCTCTTAAGCATCTCTTACCAAAAACTCACAGGGATGTATCTTATACCGGGTACTGGGATTTTTATTTAACAACTTACAGCTTCTTGGAGCAGCTTTTTACAATCATTCAGGGTACCCTTCTTCAAAATCTTTTTTAAAATTGTATTTTAGTTTAGCTTACAAAATAGGTTTTCTTTTTGGCTCTTTCACACATCCTTAGTTTGCTCTTAGCTTCCCTTCATCCCTTCCTCTTCCCCCTTGCTTAACTCTTTCCAGCCCTGATATTGCCACCTCTATTTTCATACTGGCATTATTATTTCAACTGTCATTATTTTCAAGTAGGGAAAACGTTATGCTATTTTGTAGAGATTTTAAGATTTTTTGAAAGCAAAGCCATTTGGATACATCTGTATTGTAATGGATTCCTAAATGAGTTATCTGGGGCTCATTCTCAAATATATTTCAGGATCGGTAACTTACAGAGCTTTTGACATTTATAAAAAGAGACATATTACAGTTTCTTCTGCATTAGAGATGATCATGAAACCTTGCAAGTTACCAATGATTGAAATCACCGACTGCCGAAAAAAATAAAAATTCACCTACTACAAAATGAAAATGCACGCTTATGGTCTGGCTAATTTTCTTGTCTTTCTCTTTTTTATAGACAAAACTCTGACAACCGTAGAAAAAAAGTCCATGATACATGACACAGAGTGGAACACTGGAGATGAAACAATGCAAAAAAGGTGGAAACAATGAAGTCATTGACTGCAAAATGGAACATAGCTTCTGTCTTCTTGGCATAGCTGGAATGTAACAAGGGATGATCTGTTGTACAAAGTGTGTCTTGGGGGAGATGGCAACCCCTCTCCTTTTTCCCGTGGATCAGTGATATTGTGTTTAAATGAAAATAGTTCTCAGTGTCAGCCAGCCAGTCATCTCAGCGGTAAGCACACTACAGAGCTGGGTTCCGGGAAGGAAGCAGTTCCAGGTGCTTTCCATAAGTCCACATCCATGTGAGTGGGGGAAGATCCTAACGCACAATTCCCATGCTTCCAGTCTAGGCTTTGTGGTAACTCTTCAGGAACCATTTCATGAGACAGAGTGCATTTTGTGGTATGACAGAAGGGTGTCTTTCCGAGCAAACTGCAGCAAGCATAGTGTTGAATGTGTTGCATGTCCATGTTAGGAAACCGAAACCAGTCATCAGCTAACACACGACTCCCCAGAGCAGTGTTTGTTCAAAGCTTCTGTTGAATACTTTGGCTTTTCTGCAGGGTCCCTGTGGCTTCCCACCAGTGTATGTCCACTGTTAAACCCCTTATCATTATGGTGTAACTCAGGAACAGATCTCAGGATGGAGAGAGGCAGAAAACCTGAATAAAGCTTTGGCTTGCACGCACACTCCTGAAGGCTCCTGGGAGAGGAGGGTAACCGGAGAAGAGTGGCCGTGCACTGTATATTAACATGATTCTTGGCATGTTGTTTACTCTCATCTTCTACAAGAGCGTGAGGAGGCCACGGGGCTGGTCCATAACTGTGTAGTATGAGGAAGGCGTTGCGGTGCTTCTGGAGACAGCCGACACATGTTCATCCAACTGGACTGTTTGAATTGTGTGAATTGGAGGTCACCTGGACCCCCGTTGTGAACACTCTAGAACACCATTCTGTTCCATGTAAAGAATTTGTCTCCATGTTCTCTGTATCTTAAATTAAATGTGTGCCTGATGAATTCTGTCCTCTAAACTCCCCCTCCCCCAATAAAAACGGTCGACATTAAGGACAGGTAAGGAAGCAGAAGGGGTTCCTTTGTGGATGGTATCTTTTAAATGATACTGTGTAGGAGTCTGGGTGAAGGAGATGGAAAGTCATAGACCATGTCACAAAGGGGGGGCATGAATGCAAACTTTTATTTGATAAAAGAGAACTGAAAGAGAACACTATTTTCCTACAAGTAAGAAGACTTCCTCTCATAGGATCAAATGGAGTTCCAACATGGATTATGGACTTCTTGCAGATGTCCCTGACGTTTAGTGTGAGACACAGGGCAGGGCCCCTTTGCTGTGAAGGGGAGGTAGGCCCTGCCCTTTCAGACAAAATGTGTACAAATTTCTGAGCCACAGATTTGCTAAAGTGACTGTGTATACTCAGATTCATAACTTAAATAATGATTATGTCAGATACATGTTGTTAAATTTGAAAATGTTTTATTACATTACATCAAAATAAAGGTTATTTGTAGCTGGAATAAAGCAACCTAAGTACTGTTCTTAATAAGAGGTCTGATGTCATCCATGGGGTGCTCTGAAGGATGGCAGGGGGCGTACTCTGGGCTTGCGCTTACTAAAACCCTAACAGGTAGCTCGGCAGTGGCGGTGCACCCCTGTAGTGCGAACACCCAGGACGCAGAGGCAGGAGGATCTCAAGTGGAAGGCAGTCAGAGTTTATATCTGGAGACGCTCTCAAAAAAAAAAAAAATTCCTAGAAAGTCATGAGACAGCTTTGTACTAAATTATACTCCAAAGTAGAAATTCATCCATTAGGTAATTTTTATATTTTAAATCAATGAGTGTTGGTTTCTTGAATTAATAAATACAGGTCTCTTGCTCCAGTTGGGATTGGCAGCGCCGAGAGGGCAGAGATGGGAGTGGCGTAGTCTTTACTTTAAGGAACTTGCCACCAGGATCCTAGCGGCCATTCGTCAGATCATCAGTGCAGAATGGAGCGCCGTGGCTGGTTGCTGGAAGTGATGGTTTTCTTTCTTGCAGCATAAGGCAGGACCTTATGGCTCATTAGCCATTGATTCAGACTTTGTATTTGTTTATTTATTTATTTTTTTATTGTGATCTCTACCACTCAAACCAACTTCTTTATCCCTCCTGATCTTCATGCCTGAGTGTCGCACTCTGCCCCGTTGTAGCTGCAGGGTCTGGACATCTTGTGGGCATTGCATTTTATATGCGTGGCAGGCAAATGGAAGGAGAAGGTAGCAATTGAAAAGGAGAAAATATCCAACAATTAATCTTTCCCAAATGATATAATTTTTTTTTTCTCTGCCAAAGGCACAGCTTTTGTTTTAACTAGGAAGTGAGGGAAATTATTGAGGTAAACATTTTCCATATAGTTCATGACTGTTAGAGCAAGAATGAGTGTGATGGTGAATCTCTTTTCTCACTTCAAGGGATCGGCTGTCACCTTCTGGCAAGGCTGAGCACTGGCAAGCCGCGCGTGGGAAGTGTAGCACTTGTAAGAGGTGCTGGATCACTCTTGCCTCTCTGTTTAGCTTTATTCAGTACATATCAAAACTGTGATACTCAGGGCTCTCCTGGGCTCATTGGAAGCTGGATTATACATATCTCTCCAAGCACGTACATGGTGTCTTGTAAATGAGACGTCTGTGTATGTATTTTATAATCATATTTTATATAATTTTATTAGACTGATTATGGGTATGAGCTCAACAATGAGTTAAAATTTGGGTCTTTTTTTTTCCAAATAGCTGTACAAATATAATAATTGTTTGAATTTCAATCTGGAGATGGTAGAGAATTTCCTTTCAGCATTTTAATTATCATCCAAGTTCTCAATCAAATGACTATAAATGCTTGCAAGCCTTGAATTATTTCAGTCAATGACTTTTCTCTCTCTCTCTCCGGCAGTCAATGACAAGCTCTCTCTCTCCTGCCCAGGATGTTCTTCCTACTTTCCATTATTCACTTGGCATGTGTCTTCACCGTTGTTTTCACCACCTGTGTGGTAGTTTGAATGAAAATGGCTTCTATAGGCCCATAGAGAGTAGCACTATTCAAAGGTGTGGACTTGTTGCAGTAATCGGGTCACTGGGGGTAGTCCTTGAGATTTCAAATGCTCAAGATAGGTCCAGTGTCTTTTTTCCTTCCTGCTGCCTGCTGATCCAGATGCAGAACTCTCAGCTACCTCTCCAGCACTGTACCTGCCTTCTTCCTGCCCTGATGATCGTACACTAAATCTCTAAACTGTAAGCCAGCCTCAATTAAATGTTTTCCTTTATAAGAGTTGGCGTGGTCATGGTGTCTTTTCAAAGCAACAGAACGCTGACTAGCTCACGAAGACAATCAATATGCCCTTTTTATTGAGCAACATGCTGGGAACGGATATGTCCCAGATATGCAGGTGTGTCATACATGTTTCTCAATGGGAAGGGAGATGTGAAGGAAGGAGGGGAGGAGGAAGAGGAAAGGAAGGAGGGGCAGATCAGAGTTGATTTGGCACTTTCAAACATTTTCACAGTAACAAGGGAGGAGACTTTCGGTGTTGTGGCTTGCGCGGTGAGGAGCAGAGGGGAAACTGTGGTTCTCCTCTGTGCACCCCATAGGGCAGGCCTCCACTGCCTGGGGCCGCCTGTTGTGCCTGACTTACTCATATCAAGAGAGCCACCTTCTCTCAGTTTTCTGTGCTGGTGGAGCAGATCTGTGCACGTGTTGAAACTTGGGTATCAACAGCTAGCCAGATGGTCGTTAATGGTACACAAAGAAGCCATTTGGAAACTTCCAACGGGTCAGCACATTTTGAAAACACCCCAGTAATGCAAACTGCGGTGCCATTACTTACTCTACACTTAAAGTGAGAAATGACTTGTTTCAATATTGTGTGTAAACATTCAGCCTTTGAGAACCAACTCAGGTTTCTAGTTCCCAAAGACTGGAGTTTATTTGAATGGGTGGCTCTTTAAACTGGTATTGTCTACACTTTATTGCTTGTTTATTTCTCTCTTTGTTTTTCATTCTTTCTTGGGGTGCTGGGGATTGAACTCAGCACTTTTTACTTACTAGGAAAAGTGTGGTACATTCCCTGCACCTCCATCCCTTAAAACAATTTCTGGGGCTGGAGAGACAGCTCAGTGTTTGAGAGACCTTACTGCTCTTGGGGAGGACCCAAGTTGCATTCCCAGCACCTGCGCGACAGCTTACAACATTAACTACAGTTCTAGGGGTCTGATGCCCCCTTCTAATCTTCGAGGGCACCACATGAATGTGGTGTACACACATGCATGTACATACGTGGATACACACACAAACACATTCATACAAAAACTCACACCTACAGATAAAATAAAAGCAAACAAATCTTTGAAAAGAATATCATAACACAAATAACATGGAAAAACTTGGATAAAGTTGCAGTTGGGTTACAACTTTTAAAATATGCTGCGTAGCATAAGCTAACAGATATGATGTGATCATCTACAAAACCATAAAGGAAAGATGTAGCATGTCTAGTGAGAACTGGAAGGAAAGCAGTTGTCAGGTGTCAGAAGTAGGTTTGGAGGTCAAAGTCATGCTATACGGGGATCACACCTGTGCTTTGGAGGGGACAGCAGCTGGTAACTAAATATCTGCGGTTTATCCTTGATGTGTGTTATGGAATACTTGTGATACTCAATTACCTTTCTTAATTATGTCTTGATTAGGCTATTATTAAAATACAGTTTATTCCATGAACCCACACAGTTTCACAGTAAGAGAGGAAGACAGCTGTAGATTTAAATGTCCTGGGTTACTCACCAAAGTGAATGATGCTCCGGTAGAAAAAGGAGATCTTACTAGAGCTACAGAGAATTACAGAGCTGGAGACACCCCCAGCTGTCCAAATCCACCTGTACTCTGCTGCATCGCTCTTCAAGAGCTGTGTTTGGTCTGAATTTGTTCAAAGGGGAACGGCATATACAAACACATTGCAAACTGTCTTTGATGAAGTAAGTGTCATATAGCTTTGTGGCTGAAGAATAAAACTGAATTATAAAAACTGAAGTTAAAAGAAGCATTTAATGTAAAGATATGATTTTAAAGTTAGGTTCAACAGAGAAACAAAGATACATTTCAGCAGCTTTGATTGGAACAAACTATGTATAGTTTGTATGTATATATATATATGTATATATATATATATATATATATATATATACATACACACACACACACACACACACACACATATATATATATATGGATCATATGAACTGACCATTGTTTTCACTGAAAGTAAGAAATGACTGAACTGGGATAGCCTAGCAGATAATCCATTACTGTAGTGCAGTCATAGGTTTTACAGGACACTAAGTTGACCAAGCATTTTGGGATGAGGTCATCCTAACATGAAAGGCTCAGCCCAGCAGTATGGACCTAACTCCAACCATGTTGGAAGCATTATTGAGCTCTCTATGGACATTATCTTGTAGACTTTTTTTCCAAAGTGTCGTGGATTCATTGGTTTAAAGAAACCCTGTAAAGTAAGGTCTTATTGGAATGATTCTATTGTGGAGTGTTAAATCTCATGTGGCTAGAAAATATGGGATGCCCTGTGATTTTGGTCAGAGGGATGAGGAACAAGTAGTTTGACATTAGGGAAGGGGGAGCTATGTAGGAAAGGAAAGCATTAAAGTGGTGGGCTCCATGTGGATGCCAGGGCAACAACTTCTTTAAACACAACGGGAAAATCTGGCAAATTCCCACATTGAAAGAATACTTGCATTAAGTACTTAATATTGACACTGGTTATGGAGTTAGTTAAAGATCAAGGCATTATATGCCCGTTTCCATAGCAAAGCAACTGGTCAATGTTTGTCATTGGAACAATTAGTTCTTTGTGAATTAGGCATTGGATATCAGCCATGGAGTGTGGAATGGTGAGATTGTACAAGGTGTACACTCTTAGTTTTATGTGTATTTATTGAACATTTTATGACAATGATGAATAGAAGCTCTGAATTAGATGTTTATTACTCATCAGTTATTCTAATAACTCTCACAAGAATTCTAAGAGGCTATTGTTGTCTTGAGTATTAGGGATGAGAAAACTGAGAGTAAGGGAGCCCAAGGACATTAACTTGTATTTAAAAACACTGATCTCTCAGCTGGTGGATACTTTTCATTATATATTCTCTTCTAGGCCACAAAATGCATTTTGGTTACTGAGTGTTTGCCAAACTTCCATTTCTGTGCTAAATGCCTGAGAGATACAACCTAATAGAAGAAAAGACGTGTTTGCCTCCTAGTTGCAGACACTTCAGCCTGTGGTCTACTTGTGCCACTATTTTAGGCCCAAGGTGAGGCTGAACATCATGGTAAAGAGGGCATGAGAGGTAGAGAATGAGAAAGCAAGAGAGACAGAGAGAGACAGCAGCCTATACCTGTATGATTATCAGCCCACTCTCTTTATTTCCTTTTATTCCCTGAGCCTGCAGTCTATTGGATGGTAAAAAAAAATCTA